GGTTAAACCAATATGTTGAAAACTAGAGGAAGCGTGTTAATGTGTTAATCTGATTGCATTCAGCAGGAGTCCCCATGGAGTTGTATCGATATATGTAGAATGCTACTTTTATTGGGAGTGGGCCCTTACTCTTTGTCAAAGTATTAATGGACTTGCTGGATGAAAAGCTGTTTGTAGTCGAGAGGTAAGACCACCATATCTTAGGGCTAGATAGTGCTTTTCTGACATCACATTTTTCATCTCTGTCTGGGAGCTGGTGGTCATATGACATAAATATATCATTCTTTATCCTCTCTTTCACCTTTCCTCCTGCCTTGCCTTACCAGTTTCACAAATAGTCTGGCTAGCTTAGACTAGGTAGTCCACTCCAGTCAGTATTGGGGGAATGTGGTTCCCTTTCTGTCTAAGAGCGCATTCAGAACCGCTGACTCACAGATCCGCGGATCAAATATGACCCACTAGAATGGTTGTTTGCGTAATCCCTGCAGTGAATCTATTCAGTGTCTTATCTGGAATAAAGAGGCAAGCTTTTTAGTCTATCGCCATACTAGATCCACAGATCTGTTAGTCTAGTGTTTTGAATGTCCTGTAACCTTTTCTTTTGTCCTTACCTGAGAGGCATAGGTGCTGTAACGTAAACAGCCTGACTGGGTTGGGTGGCTAGTGACCTTAAGTCAGACAGGTACATCGTTAAGCCTTGGAAGCTGCTAGACATATCTTGCCACTACTTATGTTATTACTTTGCCCTCAGTTGGCTGAGGCATAAACTATTTTCACAGAATCTTGAAATTCGGTGATTTTTGCATCAGTTCTGAACGCAGCCCTTAGGCCTCAGGCTGACAGGTACTGGTTATACGATAAGTATTCAAAAGTTTAGAAAAAGAAAAAAAAACAATCAGGCTTATATCTGTTGGCTTAATCAAGGGAGTCAATATTTATTGAGAATAGTTTAACTTGTTCAGAGCTCTATGACTTGTCATAAGGAAAAGCTGGTGAATTTACAGGGTAGTCTCCTTGTAGACAAACCTCTTCACCAGTGTTTTATGTGTAAAATGCTCATGAAATATGCAAACATAGATTTAAAAAAAAAGGAAAAGAAAAAAATATCCTACATGTATCACAGTGTCAGGCATGCCAAAAAAACACACCAGTCAAACCAGGTCAGACTGTTGTTTGCACCATTCTGTATTGTGTAAATTGTCCTTTTTTTCCACTCAATAAGAAAGAGAGCTGCTGAGGGGAAACATGGACATTATTGCAAAAGTAATGAAAAATAAACCTAGCCACCTTTGACAGGCTTGACAGTTAATGACTGCAGTATTGTACCCCAGGCAGGTCCTGAATATTTCATTGTTGCTCTGTTTTTGTTTAATCTTCTCTCTGACCAATTAGAGAAATAAAGGGATCTAAAAATTCTGCCCCAGGGACGGAAATGATAGTAACTTGAGGCAAACCCGTTGCCTGTGTGCCTCGGGAGTTGATGACTGTGTTGATCTATTTACCTTTAATCTTATCCCTGATTAATTCAGTGTTGGGAAGTCAAGTTTTATTGCCTCTTATTTAGGGAGTGATTATATTTTTGTTACAGTTTCTTTACCCCTTAAAAGTAGTAACCCCTCCCCCCAGCAAATTCTTTATCTTCTCAAATGGCTGATGATTTTGAAAGCTTTATAAAGTATTGACGTGTAGTCAATGTGTTCATATTCTGTCATTGATGGCAGGTTTATGCATTCTTTTGTAGACTATGCTGGTTAAGTTGATAAATTTCCATGTAATGTGATTGTATTTTGCATTTTGATAGCTAATGTTTTTATATCTTCTGTAGACAATAATACTTATTTCAGTCATTGTTAATGAAAAACAATGAAACTTGGCTTGGGTGGTATTTTATATGTTCCACCTCTTGCATTCATTTGGTTGTCACATTGCTGCTGTTCTCAGATACATGTGTCACATTGTAGTTTAACCTTATAATAAGAGCTAATATGTGCGCAATTGATTCTCTTCCATCAGCTTGGAAGTGAATTGGGGTCACAGAATGCTCTAGCGGAAGATGGTGCGAACTTTTCTGTATTAGGACATTCACCTTAAATTGTGTCACTTTTAAGGCCTGTTTACACTTAGGATAGGTTGACCCATTTCTGTACATTCAACTTTCATGGTGATTGTCGTAGGAGTCCGTTTTTACACTTACGCAAGTTTGAACCTCCTTTGTACAATGTTAATAGACCAGGTGATAGTTTTAAAGGCCTATTTACACTTAAGTGAGATTGAATCTTCTCTGTACAATATTAATGGTGATCATTTTTAAGGACTGCTTATACTTATGTTAGGTTGGACTATCTCTGTACAAGTTTGTTTAGTTGGACACATGACTAACATGAGTTGAACGTTGGCAGCAAGCCTTTTCTCTTCTCTTTGGTCCAAAGTTTGTAGCTTATAGCACCTAGGGATGAGGAAAGAATCAGATAGGGAAAAGAAATGATGGCAACCTAGCTTAGTCGTGAGCCTGGTCTGACCCAATGGCCTCACATTGCCTACAGAGAAAAGTCATATTGGGAAAATTAATACATTAATTTATCAGAAATGTGAACAAAAATGTGGACTTTAGTTACAATGACAGTATTTAAATAATGTCTTAAAAGAAGACTGAATCCTTGCTGCCTTACAATATAGGAGGTTGTCTCCTCAGGAGAGTGACAGCATTATGTGCTGCCATCTCATGTAAGTTGATTCTACAGTGGCTAAATTTTCCACATGCAAGAGGTAATATTTGAAGGCATTCTCAACGAATTAAGCCAGGCTTTACAAAGCGGGTGACCTAAAAATGGCGGACGTACATGAAAGAAAAACCGCCTAATCTTTTAATAGTCTCTCCGCCTCTCACATGCCTCCCCACACGTCGTCCCTGCGGGGTACAGTAATTAAATCTCGGCTCCGAACATTAATATTTCCGTGAATATCTCTGGTGATATTATCTCCGTAGATAGTCGATTCATTGCTGCTCTACGGGCCAAATTATTCCTTTTTCGTCTCTGTTTTCAAAGATAATAGAACAGAAGAGCTTTTTTTCCTTCGATCGCCTTCAGCCGCCATGCTTTCTTCACCACGAGTTTAACTGATGAGCATGCGCACTTAATATTTCTCAGGTAGCTTCCGCATGGCGAACGGAGACGCAATTTAATTACTCTACCCCGCAGGGACGATGTGTGGGGAGGTGGAGAGACTATTAAAAGATTAGGTGGTTTTTCTTTCATGTACGTCCGCCATTTTTAGGTCAATGGCTTTGTAAAGCCTGGCTTAATTCGTTGAGAATGCGCTCTTTGTCTATTTGACAGATACTTTATTAGTAACAAAACGGGGGCCTTGGTGTTTAGTGAATATTGACAAGTAATAAGTCTTTGTCTTTAGTAATAAGACAGAGTCTGTGTTTATGACTGTGTGCTGGTCCACAGGTTTGCATGTACTGTCAGGATTACGGGTCACAGAGTGTAAAAGCCCATTAAGTGAAAATTTGAATTTTATTGATTTGACCTTCTGCATAGAATGTCGTCCATCAGAACTCAGGGCCAGTCATTTATTGAAGAGGCGTAGAGGGATTTAAAGGCAAGGAATACTTCATAAAAACCCATTTTGTTCATGAAAACCAATTTTGATTGCTCTGTCACTTATTTTCATGTAAAGGTGTTGATACTATAAGAATAATAATATTAATAAACTTTTAATACTAAGTCATGTGAACCATCCCCACTGACCAGTGAGCTGACCAAGTCATTGGGCTGACCATAATTGATGGTCACTGAGTGCGAGCAGTGGGTCCGTGTAATTAATGAATTTTTTACGCTGATGATGTCAGTGGTCAGCAGGTCCATCTGGAAGGGGACAGGTCATGTGGAGTTGATTGGAACTATTATAATGTGCATGGATGCACAAATATTATACAGGATTGCTCAATAGTTAGTATTTAATCTGACAAAAGAGGATTTTGCATTTTTTAGGGGTAATCTATTTTTATCATCATTTTCACAAGTCCACAGTGAATAGACTTTTCCAGACCCCCCCCCCCCTCCCATGCCATTCAGAGCATACATGTTGGAAAATTAAGATGATGACCTTTAAAAACACATCCCTTAGGATGAAGATCTTTCAAATGCATACAGAGGGCATTGACCTTTTCCTCCAGCATACATTTTGTAGACTTGTAAAAAATGATAATAGAAGTGGATAACCCCTTCCTAGTAGTTATCTTGCTCAGGTTAAAATGATGATCAATGCATAAAGGTATGACAAATGTGGAAATAAGAAACATGATAATTATTTTGATGGAAATTCATCTGTGTAATCTTTTGATTATATTATACTTTTTAATTTCTACACTTACTTGAGCTGTACATAACAAAGCTTTAGATCACTACTGTTTTAAGCTTTTGTAGGTACATCTTAAGTAAGTGTAGAAATTGAAAAGTTCAAGCATAGAACATAATGTGATAATTATTGTAAAAAGTGACAGATGTTAGTGTTGGGGTTGGGGTCAGAAGCACCAGGTGGGATATATAGGGTTTATTATTCTACCTGTATGCTGGATGCACTAGTGTGTGGGATATCATAATCGTTATTGTGGTATTTTCAGTTTTGGTCCACAGACCTTAAAATTTCAAAGAAAAAAAAAACAAAAAATGGGGATCACCACTTACAACACTTACAAAACCTATATTTTCCAGATGCAAATGATATTAAACATCAGATACCATAAAAATATTAGGTCTTGATGATACTTGATACCAATGATTATTATGATACATATATCTTCAGTTACATGTTTTGTTTTATCAAGGTAAAAGCTCAGTTTATGAGCATGATATCTCTTACAAATGAGAACAGCCTGGTTAACAATTTATGTTTGGTCTAAATAGATCTATTTACTAATACTAGACTAGTAATCCCTACTGTCTCCCTGATGTTCATGTATTCAACATTTGCATTGTATTTTATCTTTGCAGGGCAATCAAGGCGTTTCAGCAGGTGCTTTATACTGATCCAGGGTTCAGCCGAGCTAACGAGATCCACATTCGCCTGGGGTTGATGTTCAAAGTCAACTCGGATTATGAGACCAGTGTAAAGGTGGGAGAAAGAAGAGACACTTGTCCCTTTAACGTAGCACCTGGCAATGATTTTTTTTTAAAGAGACAAAGTGTAAGATTTTATAGGCATGTTTTATTTATAACCTAAGTAAATAATCCACTTGATTTTTCCTAATGAGCAATTCTTTTTGAACAGCTTTAGATAGATAAATGTCATGTATTATTGTAGTAGTAATGAAACCAGACATATGATAGGACTTGGTCTTTATAGCATCAATTTTCACCTATTTCAAATACACTGCAGCCTTATTGACTTCCATGGACTTTCAGTGTCAAAGAAAATGGGTTTGAACTTCCATACATGATCTCATGTTTTTGTTTTTGTTTGATGATTTGATTTGAGTTGTGTTTCGAGTCCAGATCCCTCCTCTTTATTCACAATCACCCATTTAGCAGACTGCTTAAACTGATTGAAAATGAAATGTTACACAAACATTTTTTAAGTTTAAAAAAAAAGATACAGACACTCTGCAATTGAATCAATAAAACACAATTAATCTTTGGTAGATATGCACCTGCAATCAAAATGTACCTGACATATCTGGGTCAGTAACCTTGACCTTGAACTCAGAGAAACAGGAAACAACCAATCAATGCCTGTGTTAAGTTCATCCAGGTATAAGTAATGAACAAATAGATTGGCTGGCATTTTGACCTGGTGGGTTTGTTAACTGAATGCTCTATTAAGTGTTCTTTACAGAAGTTTATTTGGGTGCCAACTTATGATAATAATTGTTCAGTTTGAAATGCTGTCTGCCTGGACATAAAGATGGAAACTTAGTCAATAGATTTTTATGCAGCATGATTTGTTAGACATTTGAATGTTATTTGAGCTCCCACGCACACAATATATGTATTATAATACATGTTCTGCACTGTCATTCACTTGAATTGCTTTTAATTATCATAGAAGGAAGTCAAAATTTCCTACCAACCCCCCCCCCCCTCTTCAGGTTCTCATCGGCAGCCTTTTTCTTAAGCCCCCTCTACACTGGATGGCATCCTTTCTGCGTCCCTTAGTACGACCCTGGTTGAGAGTAAAAAAACTATAATACTTTACATGCTGACAACTGTCCGATCATTGAGCATTCATTTTGCACCCAAAGCAATTCCTGTGCCTCCTTTTATAACTACAGTGATGCCAGTTTCGTGGTTGCACAAAGTACGCAGAAAGGA